ATGCCAGAAATAGACTCCATGTTTTAGAGTTGTTGGCCTGGGGTGTCCCTTAGGCCCTCAAACAATACTATTGTCAATGCTCTTGGTTACCCTTCAGAACTTGACCATACCCTACTGCTGAAGACACTACATACCTGAGGACCTCTAAGCTGCATCCTATTGTCTTGTTTTCATAGTGCTAGAAGGTGCTATGCATGCTACCAGAAGAGAAAAGTAATCATTAATCTTACACAACTCAGAAACCTGCAAGCTACAATAATGACTGGCCTGGCAAGATAATAAGCCCACTAGTGCAATAGTGGCACAAGTGATATGGGAACAACCAACCATATCTGATTAGACATAAGGCCCATTTCACAAGATGCAACCCATACCTGGTACTGTTATTGGGACCAAGAACCTGTGGCTAGAGAGCTCACAGACTGTAGGGGAGAACCTACTACTCTTGAAGAGAAAAAATATATAATCTGTGCATTTAATATTGTTCACCATGTGATTTGTATTCCCAATTTCTCCTACTTGGTTTTATATTTCTCTCTGTGGTTTAGAACATAGTAACTGCCACGTACTGCTTTATTTAGTAAATGCTCAACCATAGCTCATGGAACTAACAATGAAGAACTCAGGAAACCAGAAATAACACAGTTATCTGATGGGTCCCATTTGCAATTGTCCTGTTTACTAAATTCCATTGTCAGAATATTTTACTAGCTCCCAGTAAATCTGCCTTTGTAGTCAACTTTTAACTTCTTAACCATGAAAAGAATTTCTTAAAATTGTCTTATGGCTCTCTTGCGAGAGAAGCTATATAAAACCTGCATACTAGCCAGGCATGGTGGCACACGCCTTTAGTCCCAGCAGAGGCAGGTAGATCTCTGTGAGTTCTAGGCCAGCATGGGCTATAGGGAGACTGTGTCTCAAAAAGACAAAAGTAAATAAAACCTGAGTACTAAACTGGGGTGGGGCACAAAGAACTTCATTAGCTCATCTGGGACCGATAGTGACAACAAAAAAAGATGTGAGCTCTTCAACTCTCTGAGTAAATTCCTTGATTATTACTATTATTCAGCTAAATGCTCAATCTTAAGTCACTGAAAAAATACCAGCATGGAGGAAAGAGATGGACAGGGAGATAGAAGTGGATCTGATAGGAACTGGAAGAGGGGGCAATATGAGCAAAATACATTGCATGAAATTCTCAAAGAATTTAATAAAAATATTTTTAAAAACTAAATGGACATAGTATTAAACTGACTCCTATTAGAGCCTATTTCAGCTCCCATCAGAAAAACTTTTTGCAGCTGACAAACAGACCCACAACTGGTCAACATGCAGAGAATAAGAAATGCTGTAGTGCTCAGTCCTAAATGGGACATCTGTGTCACACTCCTCTGAGAAGCAACCCAGTAAGCAATATTCCTCCATGGTCTCTGCTTCAGTTGTTGCCTCCAAGTTCCTGTCTTGGGTTCCTGCCTGACTTCCCTCAGTGATGGAGTATGATCTAGGAGTTGTTAAGATGAAAGAAACCCTTTCCTCCTCAAGTTACTTTTGGTCATGGGGTTGTCATAGCAAAGTATATAACTGAAACAGAAATTGGTGCCAAATTGGTGCTGTGACAGACTTGACCTGTTGCTTTTGTAGATTGTTGAGAATTTTGTAACTTTGGGCTGATAAGCCATTGAGTGCTTAGCTTTATGGGCTGTTGCATGAGATTGGAAAACAAGAATGCTGAGAGAAATGAAGACAACAGAGGTACGGCTTGTGAAATTTTGGAGGGAAATCTAAGAGTCCAATACAGACTCTATAGGGGTGTTTGTCTGATACTTTGAATTATGACTATCTATCTGGTTTCTGGTCAGCTGGGATGGAAGAATCAGCTGTCATTAGTAAGACAGTAATACCATTGAAGTGAAACCTTTGCTTTACTGGGACAATTGATGCTGGTCAGCTGGGACTGAAAAAGCCACTGTAATGAAAGAGACCAGCATCAATGAGGTGAAATCTTGTGGGAAGTATTTCCTCAGGTACAGCACACAGGAGCTGTGGTCCAGTGGGGGTGGGGTGGAGCAAGGCTGCACATCAATTTGGCAGAACTTGTCAGATAATGTGTAAGAGTCTCCCACATGATACTGATGTTGAGGGAATGACAGGGTTATGGAGAACCCCTGAGGCTTTGCAGTGTGTAGCAGGGTTGGAGTCTCCCTGAAGAAAGTCCAGGAGAGGACATTGGTGAAGGTGAAGCCTCAGCTGTGCTGGAAACCCTCGGATTGAAGGGGTCATGGAGAGAAGCCAAGGTTTGACCAAAGGTGCAGGCTCAGTTGCAGTGGAAACCCCAGGATATTGGGCATGCCAGGATAGTGGAACATCCACTAAGGGCAGTGGCCGGTGTGGAGTGGAACTTGCCTAGCCTGAGATAAACCTTCTGGAGAATGGGATTTCAGAAGCCCTTTGGAGCCCAGATCATGAGTGAGCCCCCAGCACTGTACACTGAGCTGTTTACACTGTTGGATTCTGGTTTTGACTTGATTGTAACTGTACCACGGTTCTTCCCTCTTGAAATAAGAATGTAAATTATTTTGGATTTACAAGAGCTGAGAGTTAAGAGAGACTCTGGGTTTTTAAAGAGAACATTGGACTTCTAAAGTGTTGAAATTTTTAAAGACTATGGACTTTTAAAGTTGTATTTTACATTGGGATATTAACTGAGATCTTCAGGACGAAGAAAGGAAATGTTATAGTTTAATAGTAATGTGTTGTACGTCTGCTTGATAAGGGGTGGAGTGTGCTGGTTAGATTTTGTCAACTTGACACCAATTAGACATACCTGCGTAAAAGAAATTTCAACGGAGGAACTTCATCAGAATGGTCTGAGACGCTATCTATGGAACACTTTATTGATCGCTGATTGATGTAGGAGAGCCTAGTGCACTGTGGTGATACTATCCCTGGGCAGGTGGGTCTGGACTATATAAGAAAGATAGATGAACAAGCCAGGAAAGCCAGTGAGTTGTATTAAATTACAGTCTCTTATTCAGTTCCTTCCTTGAGTTGAATTTTATCACAGTAACAGAAAGCTAAAACACCAATTTAACACATCAAAAGTCAATTCTGTGTGCTTGGGAGATGGTTCATTGGGTAAAAGCACCTGGTCGTCCAAGTCTGAGGGTGGGCTCGACCGTACACTTCCATAACACCAGGCTGGTGGAGGGCAGAACCAGGATGCTGGGATTTGCTGGCTCCCAGGCTAGCTACAGGATCAGTCAGAGACCTTGTCTCAAGGGAATAAGGCTGAGAGTCTCGGAGCCAGATACTTGATGTTTTTCTCTGGCTTTTATGTGTGCAACACAGGTGCATGTACAAGCACACATGTGTACATTTACCACACAGGCATGCCATGCACACATACACACCATAAAAAAAAAAAAACAATTCTTTCCCTCAGCACTTAAGAGTACCAGCTGCTCTTGTAGAGGACCTGAGTTTGGTTCCCAGCACCCGTGTGGATCTCTAGCATTAAAAAACAAAAAACTTGTAGCTCCAAACACACCTAAGGAAACTGTGGCAACAGATGGCTGCTGGGAGGCAGAGAGACAGTCTCTTTCAAGCATGGGACTATTGGTAGGTTAAACAGGCTCTAGTGGATGGACCCACCACACAGAAGCATATTTGGAGACACAATAGGACTCTATAGGCTTTATCGTATATATAAATATATACACACTCTAATATATATACTCACATATATACTCTGTATATACTCATCCATATATAATAGAGTACATTAAATTGACTGGGGGGCAATAAGAGGAGGTGGGGGATGGATCTAAATACCATCAGATTATATTGTACAAAAATTGCAAAAGTTCAGAAAGAAGAAAGGAGAAGCTTCTAAAACTTTCTCTAAAGCTTCTATTCTTTCATCACAGTCTTTGCTTCTCTTTTTGTTTTTTGTCCTCGTTTTTATTTTCCTTTTCCCCTGAGTGGTTTTATTTCGCCCTGAGTGTTTTGTATTTTTTTCCTGAATGTTTTCTTTATTAACTAAGTATTGCTTTAGCATTCACTATATGTGAGGACAGACAGCCCTGGGAACATACGGAATGATAAATCACAATTCTTTATAAGGTTCATATAACCTAATGGGAAAGCCAGACATATATAAGCAATGCTTACAATTTCTTTTTTTTGTTTTGTTTTTTATTCAAAGACTACCAAGAAATGGCTCACTGGGTAAAGGCATTTGGCATTCACACACACACACACACACACACACACACACATACATTAGTTTTGTATGTTTGAACTCAGGCATTTACTTTCCCAAAGAAAACTACATCAAGCTGGGCAGGGTGGTGCACACCTTTAGTCCCAGCACTCAGAAGGCAGAGGCAGGCAGATCTCTGCGAGATGAAGGCCAGCCTGGTCTCCATATCGAGTGCCGGTCCAGCTGGGGCTACAGAATACTTCTCAATAAATTCACAGAAAAAAAACAAAACAAACAAACAAACAAAAAACAAAAACAAAAAACAAAAACAAAAACAAAAACCCCACAACACCAAAAAACCCAAAAAACCAAACATCTCTTTAAACAGTATGCCATTCAAGTTTTCTTAGTTTCCAAACACTCTCTAAGATATGGTCACTGTTTTGCTCTTCTTTTACCCTTCTCAATAAATTCACAGAAAAAAAACAAAACAAACAAACAAACAAAAAACAAAAACAAAAAACAAAAACAAAAACAAAAACCCCACAACACCAAAAAACCCAAAAAACCAAACATCTCTTTAAACAGTATGCCATTCAAGTTTTCTTAGTTTCCAAACACTCTCTAAGATATGGTCACTGTTTTGCTCTTCTTTTACCCGTCTCCACCTGAGGACATCAGCCACATTCTTCTCATCTTGCGATCCTGTAAGGGTTAGTGCACAAAGAATCTAGTGAAGTGGTTAAGCTACAAGCAAAGACAATAGCACACTCTACAACACTTTAAAAGACCAAACATATTAGTGGTAAAGTAATTTGATTTTATTGACTGATGAAAAACTAAAGTGATATGAAGATTGGGTAGTAAACAATAATCACTGTGTTCTGCTGGAATTCTATATTTTTTCTTTTAACGTTAAACCAAAAGAACATAAAATTGTAGACTAGGAGTGAGCTAGTTGCTTTTAGTTCCTTCAAAAACAACACATAGTTAAGCAGTTGGACAGCATTAAATATACACATTTTTTTTCAAAAATCCTGTAAATATTAGCTCTTGTGCTGACTTTAAAGGCTAAGTAATCACCTACAGTGGTCAGATTCAGAGTTTCTTTTCCCTTTTCTGCCACCCTGTAAAGAAAAACAGAGCAAATTATTGAAGAAATGCCATTTGGGGCACATTTAAGCATTTATTTGGGGGCACATCACTGAATTATTTTCATGTGTTTTCTTAAATACTACAGAAAACATTTATAGTATTTCTATATCAATTTGTGTGGGCTTAATAAAATCATGAATATCTTACTTCTTAGAACTCATTTTGACCTAGGTATTTTAAAAAGTACAGCCTTTTTACAGACTAAGAGACAATGAGAGACTGGAGTACTTAGCCCTAAATGAGACACCTCATCACACCTCTCCTCCCAAGGCTAAGGAATCATTGTGGAAGAGGGGGTGACATGATTGGTAAGAGCCAGAGGTAATAGATGCAGACAAGGAAACCATGTTGTCCTGACACCACAGAGTAGTTGCCCATCTGAACCCTTGGTGCTCAGAGCACACAAAAGACTTGAGCAAGTCCAAGCCAGACAAAACCCCTGCATAAGTGAAGGAGGTAGGTAGGAAACCCCAGCCCTAGCTAAGGATGTATTGGCAACTGATAGCTGCTGGGAGAAGGTGAGTCAGATTTCTTTAAGGGTTGATGCCTTATAAGTTGACCAAACTGCAAGGGATGGACCCAAAGAGCATTCGGTAAACACAAATTAGACTCAATAGTCATTAAAAAAATGATAATAAAGGACATGAAGGGGAAGGGCAGTTGTGAAGGAGTGGAGATGGGATCTGAATGTGACCAAAATATATTGTATGAAATTCTCAGAGAATAAAAATATTTTAAAAAAGATTTATTTCCTGTAAGATAGTAGAAAAATAAAAATAAATTTAGAAAATATTTGAGGTAAACCACTGTGCTCAGGCACTAATAGTGTATAGTCTAAAACTTACCATGCTTCTCAATGAGTATTTTTTTCAATTACCAATAATGCACCAGGGATAAACATCATTGGCAATGATACGACCAATGTGGAAAATTCAACATGATTTCCTTTGAAAGAAACCCAAATAACATACAAGGACTATTTACAAAGTCTACCAGGCAAAGAAGCTCCCTTCTTAAACTGATTCAATGCCAAAGCTAGGATTAAACAATTTTTATGTTCTCTAGGTCACCAGTAGCTTTCAAGCCTTTTCTGACCATGAACTCACATTAATGATTTACACATGTATGTCTATATATTATATACACACATTTATTAAATCACTGATAACTTTAAACTATTTCATCAAGAAAACAAGCTGAGAATTATAACTGCAGAGAAACTGGCAGAATTAAAAAGTCACTATAACTCAATCATCAAAATAATAATGAATGCAAATAGCAGCAATGAATGCTAAAATAATTGGATGAAGAGGATATTCACACAATCTCTAGGTACCAATCTGCCTATGACTTGTTAATTATAAAGGGCAGTTATCTATGATGGAGACCTATAGGCGATAACTATCTAAGCAACCAAACTTGTGCTATAATAGTTCAAATACAACTCTGTACCTTCCTTTCATATGATTCAAATGCATGCATACCACACTGTCTATATAGTTCTAAGTGATTTTCTGAATTATTGTAGTTATTGCTATACATACCAGTATCTAAAATAACCCCAACATTTTCTAAAACATACATTATCTGGTGAACAACAAAATTTAACGTATCTGATAAATAAATTTTGGCTTAGAAATAAAGTGGTACATTTATCCTCATATTTACTCTAAATGTAGGTATAATGAAAAATTTTTCAAAATTATAAAAGTATACCTGGTATTTGGCTAATTCTGCCTGTAATACTTTCACTTTAGATCTTTCTTGTTCTAAAGCAGCATGAAGTGAAGTCACCTATAACAAATATTCAGTAAGAAAATGATTTTTGTCTTTTTTGGAAGACATACTAATCCTGAACATTCACAATGATGAATTTTGACATCTACAAAAATAAGTTATCAGGGATGCTCTTCCCATAATTTTCTTGGGCCATGTACAGAGCTATGTATTAAAGATGGATAGGACAAACTGATTGCCAGAAGACAGAAGAATTTTAGAGAGAAAAACCAGTTCTAGGAACACGGAAAGTTCTGCCTTTTCTATCTCTGTGTTGTCGTCCATTAATTTACAACTTTACCTTCCCAAATTCTTTAGGACATATCTACTTTCTTTAATAAGCAGAAACTTTATTTCCATTACATAATAGCATAAAAGTCTATCAACTTCTTGCCATG